CCCCCCGTACACCCCCCTTAAGGTGCAGAGCAGTTCTTGCTATGGGCCGTTTATTCGGCAACAGCGTTGTCATTATTTAAAGGTCAAGTCCACCCTTTTGGACCCAGTTTCATGCTTCACCCATATATCGGATGTAACATAAAGCATGGTCACATACCCAACCCCCCAAATCTAATCCCCCCTTTAAGTTAATTGTGGGGTGTTTCTGCCTAGGGAATCCAGTTTGTTTTTAAATGTGGTCATTAAAGGAGAACTATAAGGTGAGTGATTTACACTCATCCTCATAATTAGGGCCGACCTGTGACAATGAAACTGTGACACGTCGGCTCAATAGATCGGGAAGTGAGCGAACACATACCGTCGCTCGCTCACTTCCCTGCAGAGAGTGGTGACTGTCACTCCCGGCAGGGATTCCCCTCCAACCCTGACCAGCAGACTGACCTCTAGATAGGCAGAGCCAGCTGTCAATCAACCAGCTGGGTGGATCTTGACAGCATTGTCGGGATCCGTCCCGGCTGCAGCACTCTCTGTATATAGCTCGCTATCGACTGAGCTATGGGTCACCGGAGGAGGTTAGTATATGTCCTCCCGTGGCCCTTAAGAGAACTATGGGATAAAAAGGTTACCCCATATTTCTCCCTTAAGGTCCACGATCCATCCATGGCGAATACCACCGTAGCAGAGGGACTCGCAGAGCGTGCTGGCAGCACAATGCTAACGTCCTGCAGCCCCCATAACAGAAGGTTGGTACCTCTATATGGACCTGGGGCTGGATCTTAAATATTACAGGAGCCTGTGCAGCGATTCAAAGGGATGGGTGAATGAAAAGACTACAAGTCCCATCTTCCAGAGCAGCAAAAGGTGCTCATAGATTGCAATGGAGCAGAAGTGCGGTGACATCACTGTACGTGCAGTCTACTGATTACTTCCTGCAGTCCCATAGTAGAAGGTCCGTATTGCTGTGCCTCCCTCTTCCAGTCTGAGTGCTGCAGTGCAATGTAATACAGAAGGATGAGATACACAGAGGGGGAAATGGATATTCTATAATGAATACATAACTGATTACTTTGTCTGTGCAGGTTCATTCATTGGGCTACAGAAGTGACGCAGCTCCCTATATACTGAGACGCCGCAGCTGAAGCGGATCCCGACAATTGTGCCGGGATCCGCCCAGCTGCGTGACTGACAGCTGGCTCTGCCTATCTAGAGGCAGAGCCAGCTGTACCCGCCCCCTCCCGTTCCGCCAGTCAGCGCTGGAGGATCGGAGCGGGGAGAATCCAGCCCCTCCCCTGTCACGGCTGTGGTATGTGTTCGCTCACCTCCCGATCTACTGAGCCGACCTGTGACAGTCTCATTGTCACAGGTCGGCTAGAACTATGAGGTGAGTGAAAAGCCCCTCCCCCTCATAGTTCTCCTTTAACATCAGATGTACCAAAGTTATGTAAGATGAGCACATGCTGAAACAATACAACCTGCCTAAATCCATTCATGCAGCCCATGCTCACCCCGTGCAGCTTGCCTCAGGGAAGGACTCCAGCGAGACCTTTGATAGTGGATGATATGGGGGCAGAGCCACAGTCCGGACGAGCAGACCCTGCCCACTCACCATGGTAAACAGTTAATGGACAGGCTCATCTCTTCCTTCCCTGCATTGTGGCACCTATAGGGAAGGAACCTGTCCAACAACTGGTTGTGCACAGGTTCCTAGAGGCAGAGCCAGCTGTACCCGCCCCCTCCCCCATCAGTTCCACCAGTCAGCGCTGGAGGATCGGACAGGGGAGGAGGGGAATCCCTGCAGGGAGCCGTGAGCGACAGTCACGGCTCTCTGCAGGGACATGATCGAGAAGTGAGCAGATGTTCCCTCACTTCCCGATCTATTGAGCCGACCTGTGACATTTTCATTGTCACACGTTGGCTCGAACTATGAGTTCATAAAACAAAAAGCTCCTGGAATGCTCCTCTGTAAACTACAGAATGACATGAACGTTACATTGTCTCAGCTGTTCAGTGATCGCTGTGCGGTTTAATAAAGTTAAATAGGAATAATAATTAAAAAAAAAAAATCTAGCCGTGGGAGGAGCACGTCTGAGGCACGGCCACGCCCCTCGCCCTATCCTCGGCTCTGACTCGGTGACGTCACCACCGCCCGCGCGCGCCGAGCGAGAGGGAAGAGGAAACAGCGGAGGGGGAGAAGAGGAGCGCGGGGTCACGACCTCTGACCTCTCATCGAAGAGCAGAAAAATTACCGACAAACGACCGACAGGAGCGGGGGAGAGAGTGCGGCGGAGAACAGCGGAGGCCGCCGGGAGCTCAGAGGATGCGGCTGTGAGTGGAACCTCCGCCGGGCAGAGGTAAGGCCGGCCCCGGGGGGCCCTCCCTCTCCGCGGCGTGCCTGAGCGCGAAAATCTCGCGCGGCCGGTACCGCACCGTGTCCGCCAGCGCTCGCGCACACACCGACGACTCTGCTCCCTGTCTCCTTCCCCAGTCGCTCTTTTCCGCCTGGCAGCTCGCCAGCCGCCGCCATGTTCCTCCTTAGAAACGAGCTGCCTTTATTTATTTATTTTGTGACGTAATTGTGAGTACCGCGCCTGGTCCAATCGTCTCGCAGGGATTGGGAAGCGGGCGGTGACAGCTGTCGGGAGTGACGGCGAGGACAGCCAATCCGCTCATACTGTAGGTGTGGTGTCAGACGCTGCTTTGGTGCCATCCACTGGCGACGGCGCATGCTGCATCCACTGTTGCTCAATGGTACCCAATAACCTTAGGTGAACCGCAGAGAGAGATGAGCACTGGGGCCGGGGCTGGCTAGCTTCCAGACCAATGTGGCAAATTTAAAGTGTATGTCAAAGAAAAAAACCCCAAAATAACAAAAAAAAGACCAGCAAACCTTATGATGTCTTTGCAATACTCGCACTTTCCGTTCTGTTTTCTCCCTTTAAAAACTCTGTAAGCCCAACTAATACCCGTTGCTCTGCCTGAAATGTACTCCGCTTCTAGTTTCCTGTAGTAGGCTGACAACGCACAGTATTTTTCTGGACTGAATGGTGTCAGCCCTGCCCCATTGCCTTTTGCTAAACTACCGAATCCCTCCCACAGCCACAATCTCCCCAATTAGAGTCTGATTTTTCTGTAATCCAAAATAAGAACTTGAGGAGGCTTATTAGGCTACCACTGAAAACTAATCAATCACTCCCACTATACTCAACTCCACAACATGGGGTCTAATTGTTCTGTAGTCGAAGATAAGGACATGAAGGGCTAATTAGACTACTACTGAATCCCTCCCACTGTCTTTACCTCCACATCATGGGATCTAATTGTTCTGTAGTCTAAGATAAGAACATGAAGGGCTAGTTAGACTACTGCTGAATCTCTCCCACTGTCCTCTTCTCCACAGCATGGGGTCTAATTGTCCTGTAGCCCAAAATGAGAATTAGAAGGGCTTATTAGGCTACTACTGAATCTCTCCCACTGTACTCATCTCCACAACATGGGGTCTAATTGTTCTGTAGTCTAAGATAAGGACATGAAGTGCTAATTAGACTACTGCTGAAAACCAGGGAATCCCTCCCTCTGTCCTCATCTCCACCACATAGGGTTTACTTGCTCTGTAGTCCATGATAAGAGCTGGGAGGGCTAATTAGACTTCTTGAGATGACACAGGAAGTGTGCACAGGGCAGCTCTATATTTCTGAATGGTGCTGGGAACTTTCCAACTTGTAGTGCAGTCAGGTAAAAGAAAATGTCAAACTCAATGGCTCCGGCGAGTCAGTTGTCACACGGCAAATCCCCAACAATAGCTCCAGCCACAGAAATGCAGAAGAGAGCGTCAGACCAGAAAACGGGTCCCGGGGTCATTGTACTTGTCGGTAAAATGAACCGTATAAAAATATCCAACGCGTTCCGGGGGCCAAACCGCTGAGCAGCAATAGAGCTCTAATATACATCCTGATCATCCCAATGAGGATAATCCCATCAGGTCATGTCAGTGCCTTCGTATCACTCAAATCTCAGGTGCCGTTTTCAAATGGCGCCTAGACAGCGACTGTTTGTTGCGGCTCTCCGCGGCTGTTTTATAATTGCATTGGCCCTCCGCGGCTCTTGCCGGTCCCAGCCATCATTATTGACGGAGCTGACCAGGATCATTGTGTTTACACAGGAAGTTATGTGGTGTCACCTAATGACAGACCTGGAAGCTTAACTTTAATAGTTTGGAAGATACTTGAAAGTTCGATGAAGGATCACACGCAATTGTTTCTGCCTGACAATAATAATATAATCGATAGTCCGCACGGGTTCACTAAATCTTTTTATGAGGAAGCAACAAATTGGACAGAGGAATGGCTGTGGATGTGGTGTACTTGGACTTTGCAAAAGCGTTTTGACACTGTTCCCCACAGGCGGCTAATGTAGAAGTTGAGGTCAGTAGGTATAGATCATTCCATCTGTAATTGGGTAGAAAACTGGCTTCAAGACCTTCAGAGAGTGGAGATCAATGGTTCATACTCTGAATGGTCTGAGGTAGTTAGTGGTGTCCCCCAAGGTTCAGTGTTGTTAGTGGTGTCCCCCCAAGGATCAGTTTTGTTAGTGGTGTCCCCCCAAGGATCAGTGTTGTTAATGGTGCCCCCCTCTCCCCAAGGTTCAGTGTTGTTAGTGCCGCCCCCTAGGATCAGTGTTGTTAGTGGTGCCCCCCTAAGATTTAGTGTTGTTGGTGTCCCCCCAAGGATCAGTGTTGTTAGTGGTGTCCCCCCCCCAGGTTCAGTGTTGGGCCCCTTACTGTTTAATCTATTTATAAATGACATAGAATTGGAGATTAATAGTACTATTTCTGTGTTTGCAGATGACACCAAGTTATGTAGTGGAATACAGTCCTTACAGGATTGGTCTCCAGATCTCAATCCAATTGATCATGTGTGGGATGTGCTGGAAAAAGTCCGATCCATGGAGGTCCCACCTCACAACTTACATGACTTAAAGTGACATTAAACCCTCAGATTTGTTAACATAAACCAATACTGTAATGTGCGCCTTACTGTAATCCATGGCAGTTTCCCTTCTCTTTGCTGCTCTTCCTTTTAAATCCGTATCTCTTCTCATGCTGGGGGAGAACTTCCCTTTGCAGCTGGCTGCCTCTTCCTGTAGTGCTGGCTCAGGTTGTGAACCTGCACAATGACACCGTGTATCCATTCCAGAGATAAGGCAGTCTGCTGCAAAACAGAAGTTCTGCCCAGCATGAGAAGAGATACGGATTTAAAAGGAAGAGCAGCAAAGAGAAGGGAAACTGCCATGGATTACAGTAAGGCGCACATTACAGTACAGACATTCCTCGGTTACTGACTTACCTGCTTTGCGACCGCTCGCACTTACGACGGACCGTCGATCGACCTCCGACCTTGCGCGTCAGCTTCAGTGCAACGTGTCGCCGGCGGAAGTGACGTCCTCCGATCTTCACTGCGGGTCCCGGTAAGTATTTTCATTGCCCGATGTACAGTACACTGTTCGGTACTGTACATCTGCAACGCTATACAGTACTGTACTAATGCAGTACAGTACTGTATAGAGTTCCTCACTTAACGACCAATTCGTTTAACGACCTGGTCGTAGGAATGGAACTCGCTCGTTAAGTGAGGAATACCTGTATTGTTTTATGTTAAAAAATCTGAGGGTTTAATGTCACTTTAATGTCACACCGAGGTATTTGCGCATTCAAAGCTGCAAGGGTTAACTTTTTAAAAACCTGGAGTTCCTCTTTAAAGCTGGCAGTTTTAAGCAGGATCTGGTCCTGCCAGCACCCCTCCGTTCCACAAAAGTCGATTTTCCAACAAACGTTTGTCAAAGGAGCCAGGCCGGACATTCTCACAGGGGCCAGACTTGGTATTCTGACAGCGGCGCATCCACCAGTGGCAGAGTGCAATAGCCCGACGTGGCAATTCACTCTAAAAAGCATTGATGGGGAATCCAATGGTAAATGATTGGCCGGTATAACAGACAGACAAGGTGTTACAATGATAGCGTTCTGTAGCACAGAATTCTTTTTTTGAGGAACATAAACAAAGCTCGACAAGTGAACTCCGTCACACCCACACACATATATCTGTGCTGCAATTTGCATTCCGATATTTTCCAGAGATGGAATTTTAATTTCCGTCTCTTTTAACTCTTCGGATTTTTGACGTAAGCAGCGCCACGGATTGCTGTGAGTGCGGCTGAGGAGTATGTGCAGTAATGAGGCATCTCTTCTGGATGACAGAATTGGTGCCGCTCTCCTGCCTATAATTAGACTCCTCCAGATATGTGCGATATGTCCCTCAGGTTTTATTAGGAGGCTGCGAGTGCGATCGCTAGTGCAGACACACGTCCCCTCATTACATAGATGTTCATTGCTCCCCTAAGCACTCCCGCTCATGCCCTACATTGCTGGGCTTTCAGCAAGACATTTCAATGGCCATGGTTTGCATGCAAAATCTAAATGCGTACAACTTATTAAAGGAGTACACCGGCATCTACCAAGTGTCTTTTAGAATACATTATAATAATATCTCTGTTCAATACAAACTAGTAGCTCATCACTGGAGCCATTTTTTAAAATGTATTTTATTTTTTATCCGATTAACTGATTAATCGAACTCAATAATCGGCTAACTAATCGATTTTGAAAATAATCGTTAGCTGCAGCTCTAGTGCCGATGACACTCAAATATATCTTTCTACTCCACGACTCTGCCCCCCGAGTGTCCTCCACGACTCTGCCCCCGAGTGTCCTCCACGACTCTGCCCCGAGTCCCCCGAGTGTCCTCCACAGCTCTGCCCCCGGGTGTCCTCCACAGCTCTCCCCCCGAGTGTCCTCCACAGCTCTGCCCCCGAGTGTCCTCCACAGCTCTGCCCCCGAGTGTCCTCCACAGCTCTGCCCCGGCTATATCTCCAACCTTGTCTCAAAGTATTACCCTGACCATCCCCTCCGCTCTTTCCACAGACCTCCTGCTCTCTAGCTCCCTCGTCAACTCCTCCCACGCTCGCCTCCAGGACTTCTCTAGAGTCTCCCATCCTCTGGAACTCTTTACCCCAACCTGTCCGTCTATCTCACACTGCCTTTAGGCGATCCCTTATAACTCATCTCTTCAGGGAAGCCTATCCCACCTCAACCTGATCATTCAACCATCACGTCCAGATTGTCACTCCTACTGAAAGAACAAAACAATGAATCACTATTACATTCCAATAGCTTTTACGACAATGACACGGTCAAGAAAGATTATGAAAGAGGTTTTAAATAGAAGCATTTTTAAAGTACTTAAAGTGGTTGTAAACCTAAAAAGAAAAGCCAGTAATGTATCCCTAATTTTTTCTAATGCATCTGTGCCCATTTTTCAGTAAATCCTACTTTTAAAGAGTTTATTAACATTTCAAAAAAAAATAAATGGTAACAGACATGAAGTGCAAAACCAAGTGCGAAGTTAATGAGGCCCATCATGTATAAACATTAAACAGAAGATACACTTCAAAGGGCAATACATACTGAGTAAGGGCCCATTCACAGCACATCCAGATCATCTCCAGACCAGACCAGATTGTTTCCGGACCCAAAATGCATCCTAATGTATCCCAATGCTATCTCTGGCCTCTGTTCACACCAGCGCAGTCCGTTCCAGACCAGAAAAATACTGCACGTCTCATTTTGTCTGGTCGGGAATGCACTGGAACTGCGGGCAGGTTCACATCATTTTCCGGACCAGATCGGGTCTGGAAAATGGTGTGAACCTGCAAGGTGCTGAAGTGCAGTACCTGGTGGGGCCCCCTTTAATCCCTCCGCCCAAGTCTAGATTAATCCCCGCCCTCCGGTTTTTAGATTTTAAACTTTCATTGGGCATCAGAGGTCTTGGAATTTGACAGTTAAAGCCGAACCGGGTACATAACTTACCTCTAATGACATCTTCCCTCCATTGATGCCGGA